AGTATCTCTATATATATATATATATATATATATATATATATATGGCGTTATGTTAGGGTACTCATATATATAAGTATTTCTCTAATGTACTCAATGTTTTTTGACACTTGACAGCCTTACCCAATCATGTAATAACTTCTTTATCTAGGGGCATTTTAGATAATTAGTAATGGGTAAAGTAGAAATTATTGATAGAAAGAGATGAGGAGTGATATCACCTAGATGGAGCAATAATTGTTTCTTAACGACCAATAAAATGCCACTAATTTCTTATAAAAATATCTATCACACCCCTCCTGATGATGAAAATTGTCTTTACTTAAAAAAATTAGTATTACAAAAGAAGAGGCAATGAGTGCCCAAAATTGTTGAGTACATTAAAGAAAGAAATTTTTTTATATAGAGTTACAACCTTAAAATATAAAATTAAAGGTGCACATCAAAAATCCATCATAAAAGGCTGTTTTGATGTTGGAAAACCTTTTAATTGATCATCTCGACATCGAGATGTATGAATATAAAAAGAAAACATGATTTGTAATATGAGAAATAGTGTATCTTGCAACACATTATCTGGACCATCCGTTTTCAAATTTTTCATGTACTTATAGATCTACTTGATTTGAACTATTTTTAGAATTTAAAGTTCTATAATTAGAGATGAAAATAGATTTTCAAGCCAACTTAAGAATTTTTTATAACTAAATTATATCTATAATAAACTTTAGAGGTGCACCTTAATTTGATTGTTTAAGGTTGCAACCGTATTGAAACTACACCCATAAATATAAGGCAAGCTTACTACTCTTCCCTTAACATATAAAACTTATATATTTCCTTTTCTCCAACCATCCATTCTGAATGGACGGCTGAGATGGCCGCAATCACAATGTCACGCCTCTGCACTATTTTATTTTAAATTTTTTCTACCAAACGTTTTGACACCAAAATTTGGGCATCCACTCCTCTCTTAAACTCTCCCCCGTAAAAAATATAAAAATAATATCCTTAATAAACTAAAATAATCAAAATGCCCCTAAAATTTTCAAGGGTATTTGGTTATTTTATTTTATCAAAACTATTTTTGAATATTTTTCTTA